CCGAGCTGAAGTCGTGGCTGCCTCGAGCCGAATGGCCGCCCATCCTGCGATGGCATGGTGAATCCATCTCCAATAACTGTGTCTGGCGTTTCAGAAAGGAACAGTATGCATCATGGGCCCATGGGCCATGGGGCCCTAGGATGAGGAGCAGGAGGAGACACGATGATGACAGCGGCCGCCACTCATTCAAACACATTTTCCAACCAGCTGCGCTGTCGCATGCGCAGGCGCGTTAAACTCGAGAAGAATGCACGACCTGGCACACGAGAACTTGTCAGGGATTGCAACCCTGGGTTTTCGGGTGAGGGGTCTCCAAGACCCAAAATCAATACTGGAGGTTTACGGCTTTGGGACTTTGTACTCTGGGGTGTCAGGCTCCCTTAGGCGGAAACGAACGCTCAAACTGCACGACTCAAAGCTCTGCCTCGTCAAGAAAAACAGAGAAGCCCAATCCCGAGGGTTTGCGACATCTTCGGAATCCGTCCTCGTACAGCTCTCTCATGTTTGTCATGACCTTGGCATCGCCGTGTCTTGGGAATGCAGGGGCAACTGGGGGGGAAGGTGCACGTCCCAGCAGTTCCGGAATGCCCAGTGCACACGGCAAAGTTCCGAAATTTGTTGAGATGACAGAGGCTCAAACCTTCACCTTGAGGTCTGAAGGAACCTATAGACCACAAACCCGGAAGCATCCAGCCCGCACTGGCAGCACCTCTTTACGGCGGGGTTGGTTACAAAAGGGTTCTGCACAACCGTTGCAGCCACGCAACAAGTCGTGTTTACACCATCTCGACCCAAGCATTTCAGCCGCATACCAACGATTCGAGCATGAAAATACTTAAACACTCTTAAAGATAGGCTTCTCTTTCAAAACGCCCCAACGTGAGATGGCCACGCTGATTGGTGAGGGCATGTTGAGCTCTGGTTCGTTAAGTGTCGACAAGACCCCAACGATAACGAGCTTTGGTTTCGAGACCTAGATGTAGGGTATGGGGATGAAACTTTTCGGGTGGGAGCTCTTAATTCAGCTTGGTCTTGCTGCTGCCAAGCTTCGACACCGACATGGGTAACCACGTCGTACCCTCGATTTGTAGCAAAACAAGGCAACGAAGGTGCTTTTGGTGTTTATGGCTCGGGCTTTGAGTAAAGATCTGGGAGTTGGAATTACGGCTGGCCTAACTGTGTATGGGAACCAACAAACGCGTTTGTAAGCGCGGAGACTCATTTCGAGTAACGTGCATTGCTCATAACGCTTCTGCCGTCCGCAGGGTCGGAATGCATGTAGCTGAGGATTCCACAACTTCTCAGGGAATAATGGGTTACAGCATGTAAACCTTGTGACCTTGCTATGCGGTATTCGCACATGCCCATGATTTCAGAGACCTGCACAAGAGCCCTGCAGAGAAGATGCTACATCCGTTTTAAGCCTCCGAAACATCGAAACGGCACCACCCTTCAACCGCTGTAAATGCTCAACCTTAGCCAACAGCCGTTGTCAAAACTGTAAACCCCGAGATTCTCACACCCTGGTGCGGTTGTGCCCTGAAGCCATACTAACTAATCAACTAATCCTACGAATAATCTTCCAGTCATGACCCTCACCCACAAGAACCAAAAGACTGCACGTCGTTTGCCGCGCATTCCTCGTGAAGCAGCCGAACCAAGTGTTTGACCGTAAGCTTTCTAGAGGATTTTGGGGACTGCTACCGGCCATATTCTGCAGAATACTGGGCGAGGGGCGTGCCATCGCCACGAAGTCAGACACACTGGTGATGTTTGACAATCGTGGCGAGAAGTCCTAAAATCAGGCCCAAGGAGTCTGCAGTGCTTGGGGCGTTTTAGTGCAGTCTGCTGGCCTGGTCGCTGGGGGGTTCTGCTCTGCGGTTCATGCTTCCTCTAGCATGCTCCGAATTTCGCTTGCAGGGATTTGAGGACTTCCGCATCTGTATCCGTACACGTTCGAATCATCAAAACCACACTCGCCACTAATACCAGAAATGCTGGAACCACCAGCGCACAGAACAGCTGCCAAAATCCACACAGAATCACAAACCTTCCTTACAATCCCCGAAACCGTGAGCTTTGGATCGTCAGGTCTAATGTACATCCTCATCTCCCCACTGCACAACATCTTGTCAGAAGCATGACTCCTGAATACCGATGCCTCCAACAGCCTGTGCCGCAACCTGCCCTTCTGCAGCCCAGGGACGAATGAGGCCACTGGCGGAACCTCGACGAAAGCGCCAAGGGCGTCTTCCGAATGGTTCCGAATGGATCTTTCTTGCAACCATTGCTGTCGCTAGGGTGCTCGTTTGCCCCCGAAAGATACCCCTGTTGTGTCAGCAATCCTGTCTTACTCTTGAACCTTCTCTTGCCATGACCGAGGGAGGTCTTGTTGCTGTAAAATCGACTCAGCGTCCCTCATGCAGGGCCTCTGCTTCAGGAGTTGGGCAAGGTTTGGGGCCAGTTTGGGGCTTAAGGTTTAGGATCGATACGGCCGAGGGTTTCAGGCATGTGGCGCCCCGCTCCTGAGAGCTGAGAGCAGCGTTGAGCACTCAGCGTTTCTGTAGGTCTACGATGAAGCGAGCTCTCATTTTCACATCAAGCTTCAAGATCGAAGCTATGCAGGCACTCGACCCCAAACATCCGAAACCTTCCTCCAAAGCCCCACACTCGCTCGGAGTCGAAGCCCTGCGATCGCCACAAGATCATCAACCCTTCAATGGCCTTTCAATTCAAGCCTTGACACCACATGACACCAGATCCAAAAATACAAAGCACACAACCACCCTTTGGCTCTTGGGCTGGCGCGCCCGAAGGTGGCAACGTGAGATGCAGCTCTATCACCTTGAGAGTTAGGCACTGGGGGGCGGGTAAACGGAATGAGTTTGACATCCCTTCCGAGACACTGTTCCGCCAGGGCTGTCGCTTGCCCTATACTTGGTTTGTGCAAGCGCGTTCTTCATGGACCGGGGATCGGCAGAGAGTGTACATCCTCTTTAACGCACCTCTTCCATTAGGCCTCGATTCTGGTAGGGTTCGATTTCTGATGGAGCAAACAATGCCACATCCGCAAACAGAAAAATCGTCCACCTTATTTGCAGTTGTCGGCAGCCTTTTGAATGGTGCAAAGGTTGTGGAAGCTTGCTCCGAAGCTTGTTTGATGAAGTTTCGGGTTGGGATATGCCGATACGGTCCTCGATCCAAGTTGATGCCTCAGGCTGGAGGCTATTCGGATGCAGCAACGTAGCTACTGTCGCGAAACACAAACGACACCATGCCTTCCAGACGAAATCATCGGTTGGGGAGCCATAAGTACCAACTGTGGATTCAATCCCCGGCTTGGGGATTGAAGCCACCCGCTGACCTTGAAATTTCGGTAGCAATGGTAACTGAACCCACGTTTGCGATGAAGGGCCAACCGGATCAGGGGTGACCTTAGAGGCATGGTGGAATCGAAGGGTTCGGCTTTGAGCCACAGGGCGTGTGAATGGAGTGTGACTGCAGAGGCAGTGCAGCCAGCACCGCCAGGCCTACGCTTCGATTTGTTGGAGGCTGGGGCCGGGGCACTTGCTCGTTGGATGTCGATGCCCGTGTCCAGGGTCGACGTGCAAACGACTACGTGGAGCTCAGCGAGTTTCTTGAGACCACATAACCATCAGAACTAGCCGAATTTAGGGTGAACTTACACTCCACATTTGGCACTGCCGAAGAATGCAGATTAGGCTGACATGCCCTGGCCTTAACCAAGCCATTTGAGCCAAATGGCGGCTGGCGTCTCAGCGACTTACATCCATCGCCAAGGTTCCCATCTGGCGTCCCCGTGTCTTCGCACAAAGCAGCAACACATGTCTGTGCCGGAGGGGCATGTCTCTTCGACTCCGAGTGTAATCAGTCTTTGAAGTCTCTTGAAGTCTGTGGGAAATCTGTACAAGAAGGGATTGTCACCTTGAAGCTGAGCTAGCTGTGCAAGAGTGGCTATTACTACTACCAGGTCTTGCTCAGCTCCCGGTAGTAGCTGTGCATGTAAAAGTCTAGTCGGAATTTCGGACCGGAGTGTGAACTCCTTCTCAACCCCGACAGATGCCTATGGCATGAAGATTAGGGTCGGCTGGTGGCGCAGGTCGTGCTAAGACAGCCTTGGATTTGCACCGAATTCAGGCCGCAGGACGCAACGAGGCTCGGGGAAGAGTGCCGTGTGCTGCAGCTGCAGCTTCTCAAGATCTGGTATCGGAGACTATCTGGAAGACTCTCTGACAGGTAGGTCGTAGGCTTTAAGTGGCCTAGGCTGGGCTAGATCGGCCCCCAGACGCAGACATGTCAAGGGGGTTGACCAACAAACGACATCCAGCGCGGCAGCCTCTGCGTCCCTTGCAAGCCCGTGACTACTCTACAAACAACCGTTCTGTCGGTATGTACTACTTCCGGTCCTCACGCGAAGAAGGTTCTCCTTGGCGGTTGGAGGATGAGGCTTTGGTCCAACAATCAAAGAACCTCGAAGTCAACCGAACTGTTGACGGCCATGTCTGCTTCAGGCCTGCTTGGTCGAGGATTCCAGAGCTTAGTCTGAGAGACTTAGGAGAGGGTAACTGACCAGGCGGACCAACCACGTTCGACTCCGCTCTGGGATTGCATTATGAGCACGCACGTCATCCAACCTTCGGTTTCCCTCCTGACAAGGTAGCCCTGCCCCGCACATATCCCTGATAAGAACAAGAACACACTGGAATAAGAGCTTGACAAGTTGGCACCGCCTTTCATCAGTAAACACCAGCACCAAAGCAAGTGAGCAGGCCCTGAAGTAACAAAAAAAAAAGAAGCCCCTTCTCCCTCATCAAGCCTAAGGGCCCCCTAGTGGCCCTAGTGCCATGAGGCCTCAAGCCGAAGCCTTAAACACCGAAACCTGACCACCGTTTTACGGGGTGAACCTCAAAGCCCGAGCCGACAAGGTCCTCCCCCCCGGAAGCGGCACGGCCTTCCCTTCCCTGCAGAAAAGGATCGCGTTAATCCTCTTCTGTGTAGAGGCTGGCCTGGGAACATCGGGGTTTTGTGACCTCACTGCCCCCGAGTCTGATACTTCAACATTTAGGGAGGACGGGTTTAGGGATTCTGGGTCTAGGCTTCAGAATTTATAAGTCTTTTTTGAAGCGCAATGGATTTTGGTTGCGATTTTGGTTGCAGGGTTTAGGGAAATCACTACGGGTATGGACCGCCCCAGGCTGCAAGCCACGTGGCGACAGATTGATAACTTTAACTGTCGGAAATATTGTCAACCGTACAAAAGCCCTACAAGCAGCTGCAGGGCCCCCGAAGCTTGACACTTTGAAGACCGACCAGTGCAAAGCCAGACAACAACTCCTGTGTCACCTTACACCGGGAGGATGTGGGCTCTTCCGCTCGGGTCCCCTGAGCTCCGCGGCGATGAGCCCCCGCAACGCTGAGGCAGTCTTCGTCTGGTCCACTTGGAGGCCTCGGCGGGCAGAGGTGCCTTTGCGGCGGTCGTCGACTTGGGGTCCAAAGCAGTGACGTCTATAGGTCTAGTTCTGTCGGTATAAGGGAGTGAAGTGGGGCTCGGAGTGTCGAGCGCATGGTGCGCTACGGGCCGATCGAGCCATTGGCATGTTCGAGCTGAACTACGGTAGGAAAAGCAGCTCCGGTTTCCGGTCATGTCGGCGTTATCCGCAGCTTCTTCCCAGCCGCCAAGCCTCCTGGAATCCCTAAAGCTATTCTGGATAGTCTGATAACTATGTGAAAAGTCATTGAAGACTACGTGCTACAAGACTAGCTGTGACTAGCCACCAAAGTTGTTGCAGAGAGCCAGCATTGTCAACTCAAAGCAAAAAGCAACAAGTCTGCGACGCAGCATCTGCAAAGTCCGAACCTTTCACCAGGATGTTTCGGTTCTGAGCGCCCAGCTGCCCTCTGATCTCTTCACCAGGTGAAGCTGGTCGCCCTTCAGAACGGCCACCTTGTCGAACTCACCTCACAAGCATCTTCTTGGTCTTGGCTTGGGTGGTGACATTTCAGGATGCCGGCATTGGGGTGCGGGCAGACCTGCCTTCACCGACAAAAGTCAAGAACAACACCCTAGCTACATGCATGAGAGCACTCCTTTACAGCAACCAGTGCAAGGAGAGTTGCAGCCCAAGGCGATCCTCTTGAACTTTTGCAAGCCGGAGCAATCGCTGATTGAACGGTTGCTCTGTGCTCATCATGCAACTGCTCCGAAGCGCTGTTATGGCAAAGGGCATGCCAAACTTAAACCGCCTGACATCGAATTCCGGTGAGCTGAGGCGAGGCACAATCGAAGGCCCTTTCGAGGACTTCGCGCCTCAGCTGAAGCGAGCAGGATACGAGGGGTGCAGTGGCGTGGCGATGCGCGTGTCACGATATCTGACGCCACAACAGTAACACAGCGACACTTCGCACTATCAGCTGAAAGGTCAACAGCCGCCCTGTCTGTATTGAATGAATATATGACTGTGCTCGCCAGGCGTCTGAGAGTCTTCGGTGACCTGGCAGACGTCGCGAAACACCGAAGCTAGGCGGTCAGAAAACTTCAGATCACCGCTCCGCAAAAAATCTTAAACAACACGTCAAATCATACTCCGAAGACAGTTGCACATCTTGGACGCAGACCTCCACAAGGTATCTGAGCTCGGCATCGGGGTCCGAGCTCCGAAGCAGGCAGCCAGGGCGTTGTCGCACCAGCTGGTCCACGCTGCTGTCCTGGGCTGTACGGCTGATAATCGGAAGAAGACTTTCAAAAAGCACAGCAATGATGCTTTAAAGCGATACAACATGCAATGAGGGTATGGTCAGAGTAACGGCAGGACTCTGTATCAACAAGCAGTATGGAAGTGGTCTGGTATTGCTGCGGTGCGACCTTGGTTCTGCATCTTAAAAAGGCACAAGGTGGGAAATGCCAGAACAGCAACGTGCATTGCCGAGCCACTTCTCTGCACTTGCAGTATCCGCGCTTGTTGTCTCGCCTTACGACCTCGGGGTTCAGGCTCTGAGGTTCAGGGCTTCGGGACCTGACGGGGGGCTCAAGGCTCAAGGATATCGGCAGTTTGGCTTCGAACAGCACGGGATCCACAGGAAGCCGCAGCTCCTTGTCAATCGCAAATTAGGAGGCCTTCCCTGTCAAAAAGCTTGCGCCCTAGTATGTCAGTCTGCTCGAAAAAGAGATCCACTCCAAACCCGCCAAGGCAATGAACAACAGTCGTGACAATGCTCGCTGCAACACTGAAACTAGCAAGAGCAACAATCACTGTGAAAACTCCGTAAATCGACGTATGTCGCGCTCCAGTGCATTCCATCGCGTGTCGGTGCAAGTCTGTCTGGCTCTTGTCGCTGCGATGTCTAAGCTACGATGGCTTCGTCATCTGCTGCCGGTCACGAATTCTGGACACTTGCACCTTGAATGCAAACCCTGAACCATACACTCGAAAATCCAGGTTTTCTTTTTTAACTCCGAATTCCTGCACCCTGATCCTGGAAGCCCAACTACAGCTCCGCTCCCACCTGGAGGACTCCTTCGCAGAATTCCTCCTTGGAGACTGCTAGCTGGTCGCATAGGCGGCGCCTTGGCAGTGAGGCAGTGAGCGCAGTCACTGGAAATTGGTTTGGGTTACTCAGGGTTTAGGATTTGGTGCCTCCGCTTGACATGCAGCTCTGAGGTCAGGGCACTGGAGGGAAATTTGACTGTAGCTGCGTAGGTTCAACTTCAGTGATGCCCGAAACTTGCGGCCCCATGGGGGCATCTGCTTTTTTCGTGCGTTTGAACCTGGGACGATTCTTGTTGTCTAGCCTACTTTCGGGGGCATTATGCTGGGAGAGTTGGAGCAAGCAGCTTGTGCGCATTCCAACACACAGTCTGATTGCAACACTGCATAGGACTGTAAGTGCCTGCTTCTTAGGATACACGGCAAAAAAGGTCGCACCCCAGCTCCAACTTCAGTCGCAACGTGCACCTTGGTCGTGTTCCCGGCCCAATCTGCAAGACGAACGATAGCTGCAAACTTTTGGATATCCCAGGCCTGAACCGTTTTCTCGTGGTCTGCGAAGGGCGTCGAACTTTCAGCATCCCAAAACAGATTCATGCAAACTCCCACCGAGTGGTCGAAGGGAATGCACCTTGTCCTGGTGCTCCGGACCCCAAAAGCCGTCAAACTTTTCAGAGTCCCGAAACACATGCAAACTCTCACCGAGCATCCGCAAGATGCTTGGGACTTTCTCCCCGAACCAATAAAAACTGAATTCTGCTTAAATTGAAAATTAAATCTTCTAAGTTCTTGTCACTGAAGCATTTGTCGTAGACAAGGCCAAGCCGCAGCGGAGCGAAATCGTAACCGCCGAAGCGGTTGAAGGTGTAGAGCCTCGAGACCGCATGGTTCCGTGGCAGAATACCAGTGGCTGCTCGTGCCTCCTCCGGCATGTCTTCTGTTGAAATACAGCCTAATTTGCAATTCGTTTGAATCCAGCCTACAGAATTCCAATCAGTTGAGCAGCAGCCCCTGGTGCGCGAGGAAGCCATCCCCGTCCAGAAGTCCCTGCACGGGTGTGGGCCGAGAGTGAGAGCCTACGAGACTAGTGGGAATAGCATGTGCAGGATTTCGGGATGCGGTTTTTGAAGTGCACGCGTTTTGGCGCCAGTTGAAAGGACATCCGGCTTCACGGCGAGTCACTGTCAGTTGAGGGTGTACAGCTCAGGGTTCTGCATTGGAGGAATGGAGCGAGAACTAAGCTTCCGTTGGCTTTAAGCTTCAGGACCTGGTCTTTAGATTTAGATCATTCGAGCAAGGTTTGAGGTTATAGCATACCAGAAGTACCAGCCTTAGGCATGATGAGCTGTCTCCGAACAAAGGCTAATCTAATCGGCTAGGCCGCAACCCCTGAACACGCACATGTACGAGCCGGAGCTGAAATCAACAAATCACTACCCACGAAACCACAGCACAGATGCAGCCCAGCCAGGGCCCAGCTCTCAGACCTGATTAACCCGAATTTGGACAAATTGAAGAGAAACCAGTTATGCCCAAGCTTTTCCTCTGCCGTCGCCGCACTTTCGGAAACCGTGTTGCTGTTGGGGGTTTAGGGTTCACGGCGGGCAGAGCGTAAATTGACGAACAAGCAGCGGCTGTCGTCGTCCTTGCCGTGGCAGTGGTGATGGGAGTGGCAGTGGCAGTGGTTGTGGTTGTACGGGTAGTAGTTTGTCGTCGACGTCCTAGTGGTAGTAGTTAGTAGTCGTCGTCGTCGTCGTAGNNGCAGCAGCAGCAGCAGCAACCATGATAACAACTGCACGAAGGGTAACAATGACTAACCTGCCCTGTACCAATGCTAGTAATTGCGTGTCCGGGTGAGGGGGGCTTTGGGCGGTCTTGCTTTTGAGAGCGCACCGGTCCTGCCTCACATCGCGGCAACACCAGAGCCCACATGTGACAGGCGATGCGGTGACAGTGAAGGTTTTGCGTCAGGCTTTGTTCCCTCGTTGTGTAACC